TTAGGAAATGTCACTTTTAATATCTAAACTTCCTTTTTTACACAAAAGAAAACAATCTTCTAACCTTAGGAAATGTCACTTTTAATATCTAAACTTCCTTTTTTTATGATTGAACTTGTGTAACTGACTACACTTCAAATAAAGCAAAATAATGGACATTAAGGCTAATGTTTTCTGGACTTCAGATAAGTATTGAAATAGATCTTTTCCACTACAGCCATTCACTGTAATAAGTTGTATTGAATTTTTGAGCTTGTTTGATATAGTTGATATATTGACTAATGTATGACTTACATGTGGGAATGTTTCATAACAACCTACCAAGTATGTCTAACTGTTTTTAGCATTTGTTGTTTTGATAAAAGTAAGAACCTATATCAGTGTTAACATATTAACTGTTGTTAGTTGCTAATGTTAAAATTATCAGTGTTATTAGAACCATGTAGTTGTTGTAGTTTATAATTGACAGTAATAATAGAACAAAAAAATTTAACTTGCATGGGACAAAAATACTCATAAGTTGTAACATGTTAATATCGGGAATTAGAAATTACTCATGTTAACTTAGTTTTTTAAAGAGGAATGTCTAAACCTAAAGTATATTTTGACAATTTTTATACTAATTAATAATTTTAACCAAAATTGATATAATTTCTTGGTGAAGTTAATATACATTGCAAGATGAATAACATGCATGTGATTCTAGTAGAGAGTTTCAATAAGTTACGTTTGTGTTCAGGATGGATGTTAAAACTAATAACTGTTTAAAAGAGCACTTTATTTTATTCTTTGTTGTTTGGTGAGAATATTCACTATTTGTGCCATATGAATACTAGTGAAAAGTTGGTATCAATTTTTTTCCAGAAGCATTTCATTGTGTAAACTTGCATTTTGTGAGTAACTTTCCCTTATGTGTTGAATTATGTAGTTAAGATTTGGTAAAGCTTTGTCTGTTTTTCACTGAGAGCTGGACTGTTTCAGTATGAAAGTAGTGTTGTATTTAATCTTGTTGTCCAGCAGGATTGTAGACAGATAGTTGGACTGTCTCTGTATGAAAGAAGTGTTGTATTTAATCTTGTGGTCCAGGAGGACTGTAGACAGATAGCTGGACTGTTTTAATATGAAAGTAGTGTTCTATTTAATCTTGTGGTCCAGCAGGACTGTAGACAGATAGCGGGACTGTTTTAATATGAAAGTAGTGTTGTATTTAATTTTGTGGTCCAGGAGGACTGTAGACAGATAGCGGGACTGTTTTAATATGAAAGTAGTATTGTATTTAATCTTGTGGTCCAGCAGGACTGTAGACAGATAGCTGGACTGTTTTAATATGAAAGTAGTATTGTATTTAATCTTCTGTCCAGCAGGATTGTAGACAGATAGCTGGACTGTTTTAATATGAAAGTAGTGCTGTATTTAATCTTCTGTCCAGCAGGACTGTAGACAGATAGCTGGACTGTTTCAGTATGGAAGTAGTGTTGTATTTAATCCATTGTTATTGTTTTTTTTGCCTGTTTGTTGCTAACTTCTGCTCTTAATGGCTGTTTATGTCAGATTAGTGAATCAATGTAAAATTGCTTTTGAAATGGTCATGTATGTGTATATACTTTCTTACAAACAATTGTGTGTGTGTGTGTGTGTATATATATATGTGCATCACCTTATATAAAATAGTTTAAATTACAGTTAAGATTTACTAGTTGTGATTAAAAAGGAAGACTTAGTAAACAGCTCATGATTTGCATCTTGTTGAAAAATGTAAACCATGAAATTTACTGTTGCAGATTTTGTTTTAAACATGATCGGTCCAAACAAGACCTTGTCCTTAATTGTATATATTGTATATGATCAGTCTCTACATGATCATGTTCTGTTTTATACAGGATCAATCTTTACAGAATCACTTTGAGTCCCTGCCAACCACTCCGGCACCTTTGCGGCAGGATGCTAATGAAATTGCAACAAATGGACAAACCATCAATGGAACACCATTAAACCGTAGTGAGTTCTTTTGTTTAATCTCAGCTACATCTGTATCATTACTGATAGATAAATAGGGCTGCTGTATGTCAAGGTGTAGTGTGGTATTGTGTGGAGCATCTCATTTGTAAAGTTAAAGTTGTGAAGTTTTAGCTTTGTTTAAATTTTATATATACATTCTTTTCGTTACTAGCAAAATGAAGTGCTTTACAGGATTTCAATTTATAAAGGGCACTAAATAGGTGATTGGTAACAGATCTTTCTATGGCATTACTCCACTGATTTGTATTTCTTTTGTTATAATTGCAGCTGCTACACCTGCAAAAAAATCCCGCCCACATTCCAGAGACATCCATGAGAGTCTGAGCTCAGATGATAATGCTGCTGGAACATTAGGTTTTCAGCAAGATGTTGATCAAGGATCAAAAGAGGTGAGGATTAATGTGAAGCTTTTTTAATTTTTACTTTATAAAGAAAAGAAAAAAAACTCTATAGAGTTTGTCAGTTTGTTTTAAACAAAAGTTTGAACAGTTTTTATTGAAATTAAAATTTTTGCTTGTTAAAGAAACACCTGCATGTAGGCAGCGAAGTACTAGAAGTAGCTAAAAACTTTTTTAATCATGTAATAAACTTATATTGTATTTTTTTATCGTACTCTTATGTCATACTTATAGCTTTACACTGTTAATATAGCATGTGTTAGTGTGAGAATACAGGGGATATTGTAGTAATGCAGAAATTGTGGAAAGTTTATAGTCAGTCAATGACTGATCACACTTCTGTAGACGTAAATCGTCTGGAAAGTACAAGTTTTGTTGTTGAAATAGTAGACTCAAATTCTCTTAATTGCAACTCCAAAAAGTTCTAAATCATTTGTAAGCTACTAAATGTGACTCAATCAAATTCAGTAACAAGAATAACAAGTTATTGATTGTGAGTCCATCTCGGTAACAAGTCACAAGATATTGAGTCAGATTCAGTAACAAGTCATCAGCTGTCGAGTGTGAATCCATTAGATTCATTAGCAAGTCATCAGCTGTCGAGTGTGAATCCATTAGATTCATTAGCAAGTCATCAGCTGTCGAGTGTGAATCCATTAGATTCATTAGCAAGTCATCAGCTGTCGAGTGTGAATCCATTAGATTCATTAGCAAGTCATCAGCTGTCGAGTGTGAATCCATTAGATTCATTAGCAAGTCATCAGCTGTCGAGTGTGAA